AAAAAGGTATTAATAGCAAAAGATAAAATATTTAGAAATTAACTTAAAAATATATAAGATCAATATTAAAATAAGGCCACAGAAGAAGATCTGAACAAATGGAAAAACCAAGTTCTCGGCTAGGGAAACTAAAAATAACATCGTAGTGATAGATACTAATACATCCTTCATTAGTTTGTAAACTTACTTCGATTTTCCAACAAGTAGCATTTAAAATTTTTTTAAACAAGATAAGATGATTTTGAAGTTAGTGTATAAAAATAAATGGCCAGAAACAACTAGGAAACCTCAATTAACAAAGCAGCAAAAGAGGGTTGGTCTCACTGGACAGGGAAACATTTAGTATTATAAAGCCTCAGTAATTAAAATAGATTAGTCTTGGGCTGGGGATTTAGCTCAGTGGTTCTGACACCTACCTCCCTAACGCAAGGACCCGAGTTCGATCCCCAGTACCAAATTAATAATAATAAATAGATTGGTTTTGGTGCATGAATAAGTAAACTAACCAAAGAGCCAGAGTAAAAGTTACAGTAGATCTCAATACTTAAGAGATTTGGTATAAAATAAAGCACATTTCAGATCAGTAAGGAGAAGATCAATCGTCTAATGAATATGGTTGTGTTAACTGGGTGATCTTGCAGGAAGAAAATGTGAGTTGGATCCAGATACTGCATCCTAAATTAGATTCCAAATGAATCAAAGATTTTAAAATCCTAGAAGTACCAAAAGAAACACAGGAATTATTTATTAATCCTGGAGTTGATAGTGAGTCTTAATTTGACTTTGGTCCCAGAAATCACAAAAAATTGATAAATTTAGCCACCAACTTTTGGATAATAAAAAAAATCCATAGCCAAGAAAAAAAGAGGGAGGTGTATTTGCAATTCTTAGTACTGACATTTAATCTCTGTAGGATTTAAGAAGCTGAATAAAAAAGTAATGAATAGAAAATTTGACAAAATAAACAGTTCATATAAAAGAGATACCAAATGTTTCTTCAAGAATAAAGGAGGGCCAGGATTTAGCTCAGTGGTGCCGCTGCCTGCCTCACAAGGTCCTGAGTTCGATCCCTGATACCAAAAAAATTAAAATAAAGGAAAAAAAATGGCCCCACTGAAACTGTCATAAGATATCATTTCATCAGCAAGACTGGCAGAAATCCAAAAGTTACAAGCTCCATCGTCTTGGTAAGAATTTGGAGTATCAGACGATATGATTGGTGGATCGGTGTATTAGTACAACCCCCACTGATGGCAATTTGACAGTGCCATTAATTTCATTAAGACAGTGTAGTAATTTCACCAAGTTAATATTTACTATAATTTCTGGAAGAAGATATTTTGTTCCTTTCCCCTTTGTTTTTTCTATTTGTGGTCTAGAAAAAAATATGTGGATTTAGAAAGTATTGACTGTCATGTCTTGGAGACTATAAACTACTAAGTCTTACTCAAGCACCATATACATAATTATAATCATGAATGACATTTCTAACTATATGGAATGAAAACTGGTTTAATGAGGTCGTAAGGAAGGAGATTTATATTACCATAGTAAAGCTAAGGTTTTTGAAATAGATTCCTCTTAGAAGATTTTTTTTAATTTAAAAATCATTTAATTCATAAAGTGAAAAACTAGAATATAAAAGCATTTCACATTTTTAAACAAATAATACCTTCTAAATTATTTAACATAAGATAAGAGATCCACAATACTTTACCTGAAAGCTCTGGGAGGCAGATGTTTCAGAATTATGAAATTTTTCAGAACGGACCTTGTGCTTGCGAGGCAGGTGGAGACACACTGAGCTAAATCCCTGGCCCTCAGATTTTAATAAGGCAATGTGCATATACCATACTACATTAACCCTTTAAAAATGTGGTAGCAGCCCCTCCCCAGTAATCAAACGTGTTAATAATTCTGCAGCAAAATAAATGAATATTCACACAAAATAGGATAAATGGTTTGTCAGATTAGATATATAAGCAAATTAATTTTGTCACCAAGCTTATGAAAACCTTGTTTTCAGAATTTCTTGAATTTTGAAATTGCAATTACAGATAAAGGAATGCAGATTTTATACTCTTATATGGTAAGACACAAAAAAATAAATGATCCTTTTTTACAAATGAAAAAACACATAAGCTTTCAAATACATTATAAATTAACAGACATCTTTCTTTTTGATATTTTTAAATGTACATCTTAAATGCATACATACACACATGTAGTATACATGATTTATGACAATCAACAGGAATTGAAGGCTTGGAAATACAATCCCTTCTGTAAGAAGGGGATACTATTATGTGTGACATAAAATTAAAATAGGGTTAAGTCAACTCCTTATGATACTAGGAAGATCACTTGCTGAGTGCAACACAAGGAGGTAGGATTTATTCTTCAAGAAGTACAATTTTACTTGTAAGTAATCTCATAAAAACACAAATAGGCAACATTACTTAAAATGCACGTTAGATGACTTTTCTCTGTGTACAATACTACATTTGGCTTTATGCCTAAAAGTTAAAACTTTAAAGGTATTTTCAGTCAGGTAAATAAGTAATGTTTTACCAAGTTTAAAAACATATGGGTCACAATGATGCTCCTAAGTAAAAAAGTTACAGTAGATCAAAATACTTAAGAGATTTGGTATAAAATAAAGCACATTTCAGATCAGTAAGGAGAAGATCAATCGTCTAATGAATATGGTTGTGTTAACTGGGTGATCTTGCAGGAAGAAAATGTGAGTTGGATCCAGATACTGCATCCTAAATTAGATTCCAAATGAATCAAAGATTTTAAAATCCTAGAAGTACCAAAAGAAACACAGGAATTATTTATTAATCCTGGAGTTGATAGTGAGTCTTAATTTGACTTTGGTCCCAGAAATCACAAAAAATTGATAAATTTAGCCACCAACTTTTGGATAATAAAAAAAATCCATAACCAAGAAAAAAAGAGGGAGGTGTATTTGCAATTCTTAGTACTGACATTTAATCTCTGTAGGATTTAAGAAGCTGAATAAAAAAGTAATGAATAGAAAATTTGACAAAATAAACAGTTCATATAAAAGAGATACCAAATGTTTCTTCAAGAATAAAGGAGGGCCAGGATTTAGCTCAGTGGTGCCGCTGCCTGCCTCACAAGGTCCTGAGTTCGATCCCTGATACCAAAAAAATTAAAATAAAGGAAAAAAAATGGCCCCACTGAAACTGTCATAAGATATCATTTCATCAGCAAGACTGGCAGAAATCCAAAAGTTACAAGCTCCATCGTCTTGGTAAGAATTTGGAGTATCAGACGATATGATTGGTGGATCGGTGTATTAGTACAACCCCCACTGATGGCAATTTGACAGTGCCATTAATTTCATTAAGACAGTGTAGTAATTTCACCAAGTTAATATTTACTATAATTTCTGGAAGAAGATATTTTGTTCCTTTCCCCTTTGTTTTTTCTATTTGTGGTCTAGAAAAAAATATGTGGATTTAGAAAGTATTGACTGTCATGTCTTGGAGACTATAAACTACTAAGTCTTACTCAAGCACCATATACATAATTATAATCATGAATGACATTTCTAACTATATGGAATGAAAACTGGTTTAATGAGGTCGTAAGGAAGGAGATTTATATTACCATAAAAGCTAAGGTTTTTGAAATAGATTCCTCTTAGAAGATTTTTTTTAATTTAAAAATCATTTAATTCATAAAGTGAAAAACTAGAATATAAAAGCATTTCACATTTTTAAACAAATAATACCTTCTAAATTATTTAACATAAGATAAGAGATCCACAATACTTTACCTGAAAGCTCTGGGAGGCAGATGTTTCAGAATTATGAAATTTTTCAGAACGGACCTTGTGCTTGCGAGGCAGGTGGAGACACACTGAGCTAAATCCCTGGCCCTCAGATTTTAATAAGGCAATGTGCATATACCATACTACATTAACCCTTTAAAAATGTGGTAGCAGCCCCTCCCCAGTAATCAAACGTGTTAATAATTCTGCAGCAAAATAAATGAATATTCACACAAAATAGGATAAATGGTTTGTCAGATTAGATATATAAGCAAATTAATTTTGTCACCAAGCTTATGAAAACCTTGTTTTCAGAATTTCTTGAATTTTGAAATTGCAATTACAGATAAAGGAATGCAGATTTTATACTCTTATATGGTAAGACACAAAAAAATAAATGATCCTTTTTTACAAATGAAAAAACACATAAGCTTTCAAATACATTATAAATTAACAGACATCTTTCTTTTTGATATTTTTAAATGTACATCTTAAATACATACACACATGTAGTATACATGATGTATGACAATCAACAGGAATTGAAGGCTTGGAAATACAATCCCTTCTGTAAGAAGGGGATACTATTATGTGTGACATAAAATTAAAATAGGGTTAAGTCAACTCCTTATGATACTAGGAAGATCACTTGCTGAGTGCAACACAAGGAGGTAGGATTTATTCTTCAAGAAGTACAATTTTACTTGTAAGTAATCTCATAAAAACACAAATAGGCAACATTACTTAAAATGCACGTTAGATGACTTTTCTCTGTGTACAATACTACATTTGGCTTTATGCCTAAAAGTTAAAACTTTAAAGGTATTTTCAGTCAGGTAAATAAGTAATGTTTTACCAAGTTTAAAAACATATGGGTCACAATGATGCTCCTAAGTAATTGCAGTATTTTTTTTTTTGGTACCAGGGATCGAACTCAGGATCTTGTGTTTAAAAGCAGGTGGTGGAACCACTGAGCTAAATCCATGGCCCAGTAATTGCAGTATTAAAACAAATATTTAAGGAAGTCCATTGATTTTTCATAAAATCCTATCTGGTGGTTAAAATTACTCAAAATCAAGAGTAAAGCCAGGCGTAGCATGAGAAATTTCTGTATATAACCCTTTCTTCCATTGACTGTTATGTGAAGAATTTGCATCAACAACTTCCATAGGTTGGAGGGCAGTGAACACGTGGCAAGTCATTCAGTTAACCAACTCCAGTCAAGATTCATCATGCTATTGTCCTGGTCCTCATTTGCTTCACGAATAATAGTATTTAAATGGCCAAGACAGTTCAAATTTTCTTCTATCATTTGTGCTAAACTCTCCCCATCTTGAGTTACCATGCATGACAGAGAATGTTCACATTGTGCTAAAGTTGGAGGCAGGCACGCTGATGCCTGAGGAGTTACTGCACCTTCTAGACTGGAACCTACAAGGGACCTGGCAGAACTCTGTGATGAATAATAGTATTTAAATGGCCAAGACAGTTCAAATTTTCTTCTATCACTTGTGCTAAACTCTCCCCATCTTGAGTTACCATGCATGAAAGAGAATGTTCACGTTGTGCTAAAATTGGAGGCAGGCACGCTGATGCCTGAGGAGTCACTGCACCTTCTAGACTGGAACCTACAAGGGACCTGGCAGAACTCTGTGTACAGGCAATTTTAAGGAGACGCCAAATTTCTTTCTGCCTCTTTCCCTGCATGAACATGACAATATTGTCAGCTTCTTTGATGTTACTGAGGGCCACTTCTACCTTGGGGAGTAGGTCAATAATCTTCTGTTTACAGCCCAAAACCTTGCTTAGATGGCCAGACAACTCCTTGAGAACACGATCCTGACTCTGAACAGTATGCGCAATGATCTTCACTATCTCTGTGCTGTCCCTGTAGGAGTGATCTGCAGGTCTGTGCTTTAACTGTTTATACAGAACAATGGCACGCTGTTCCAGAGATTCCATCAAGTCTCCCTGGCGTCTTCCATAGGGGCTCTTCTGTAGCTCCATGATTTCAGTGTGCAAAGATATAATCTGATCTTCAAGGTATCCAATGGCACCAATCTCAGCATAGTGGATAGCCTTTTCTTCCATTTCTTTCCAAGCTTTTAGCATTTTTTCTGAAGATATCCCATAAGTCATCTGCTCACTGTATCTCTCCAGGTCAAGCTGAATGCTTTTGTGAAAAAATTACAATTTAGCTTTCAGTTGCTGTGATGCTGAGATCAAAGTGTTCTTCATTTTTGTCAAATTAGCATCGTACCTAAGAAGATTTAACATTGCTGCTCTTTGTCCCTGAAAGAGCCTACTGTAGTCTTCTTTTAGCCCAGACTCATAGTGTACTGCTTCAGCCCAAACTTTCCGTAGCTATACAACTGGAAGCTGTATTTTGCTATCTTGTACAATATAATTTACACAATCAGACAAACTTCTGGAAGCAAATGGCCCTTCATATACAGTCTTGCTTTTATCAAACAAATAAACCATATAGCTGTCACAGCCTCTAACTCCATCTAAAACACATTGAGAAGCCGGTTTCCAAAGATCCAGAGAAATTCCTGTCTCTGAAAGAAGCTCCTGAGAGCCAGTATTTATTCCATTTTCACTCTCAATACAAGACTGTAGTGAATGAAGACTTTCATCAAGTGGTAACAGAAAAGAAATTATCTTTGCAGAAGTCATATTTAGGATGTGTACTATCTTCAAATTCAGAATGTGATCTATTAATACAAAACATCTTGGTTGCTTTAAAGTAAGGTCAACAGGTCCCCCTCTCTGCTGTGGGTCCCAATTCAGCATCAACTGCAGCCAGTTTTCCATAGGCTCTACTATCAAACTACAAAGGCTATTTGGCTGAGGTAAATGACTACTAAACCGAACTTCTCCAGTCATCTCCTCACAAGTAAATACACATTTTGGATCCTTCTTCTTAATTTTTTCATGCCAGGTAAATGGCTGCAGATGATGCAAAAAAAGGCCTATATCCAGCAGTGCATTCAAACACCATTGCCCCAAAGCTCCAATAATCAACAGTAGCTGTGTAAGGCTTCTTCTCCAAGAGTTCTGGGGCCAGATACTGCAGGGTTCCCACAAAAGATGTACAGAGACTTCTTTGATCAACATCTTTGGCATATCCCAGATCATTTATTTTGTGCATTACCTTTCCACCAACATCCTGAAGAACTACGTTTTCGGTTTTTAGATCTCGATGTATAATTTTATTTTCATGCAAATAACGAATCCCAGACCCTGTATCACTGAGTAAAGAAAGTATCTGACTTTCTCTAAGTCCGCAACAATTTTCTGGTTTGTTGAGTAGTTCTTCATAATCTGGATTTCATGACACCACCGTTCTCTGTTTTTGGTACTTAGCTCTAGGCGGCAAGATTTAATGGCTATTTTGAGATCAAGTTCCCGATGCTCGTACAGACAGACGTTCTGGAATCCTCCGGTGCCAAGCTGCTCTGGAATCACCCAGCGCCCGCCCCGGGGGCCGCTCCCTTAGAAGATATTTTTTCGCCTGGTGTTCCATTTTATTTTTGCTGATCTACCCATTTCCCTCTTAGAACTCATCAAAGCCAAAGCAGACAAACAATATATTTCCCTTGAATGTGCAGCTAGTAAAAGAACAAAATGTTTTACTTCTGTGTCATTCCTTAGTAATGTGATCTCGTCGGGTGTGAGCACAAGAGTGTGTCTCTCTGTAATATTACCAGGACTCCTGCTGGCTGAGGGCCTTGCAAGTTTGTATAAAGGGTAGGAAAGAGGGAAAGGATAGACACTTTATGAAGTGATATATGAGGTACAATAATAGATAACTTCTTCATAGAAAAAAAAAAGCCCCACTGTTAGAATGGATAGAATGAAACCCATATCTGATAGTGTAAAGAACTTTAATCAGTAGTGTCATCTGCTTATGAGACAAAGTACTTCTATACGTTCATCTTGCTTTTTTGGAGAACTAAGTTTTTCACGAAAATTAATTTCCTAGCATGCCGTAGCAGACAAAGCTTGCATTGAGAGCCAGGAAGAACTAAGTTCAAAAAACTCTTTACAGCTGGCCTGTGAAAATGGACAAGTCTCATGGTTTCTCCATGACTTGGTTTTCTCTTATGTACAACTGGACCAGTAATGCTTGTGGTGTTGGTGTCAGGTGAAAGTCCTCTAGGACGGTGCCTGACCTTATTCGTGTTTAATGATGGCCGTCCGTCCCCACCCCCGGCAGGCGCCAACTTCCGGGCTTAGGTCCCTGTGCATACCGCTGTGAGGTGCCGCCACCTCCCCTGAAGTCGTTTGACTGTCTCTGGGGGTGGACTCTGCCTTCGTCTTATCTCTAGTATTTAGGACACTGCCGCGCATATGCTAGGTGAATGGAATACTTTCAATGCCTAGATTTTACTGTAATACTGAAAACAGAAATATTTTAAAGTGTCTTGTGAATTACTGCATCATACGGAATGCATTGTAGAGATTTAACACTGATATATCCATTAGGCTTAAATGTACTCCAGGGTGACCTGGTGACCTGGCGACCCTTTGTTCTGTTCAGGTAAATCATGGATAGATGAGGAGGATCTTAGCCACTTTTGTACCAGTAAAGAGATGGCCCACTGTTTTTTTACATTTCTCTTTGAGCTAAATAGTATTTTTCCTGCCATAAAATGAGGTGATGCCAAGATGCTGGGGAACATTCCTGAGGCTACATGATTAGCACATGGTGATACTGTCATTTGAACTTGGCATCTTTTTCTGCCTAGTGCATTTTCCATGATATTAAGTAAGACAAATGCATTTGGAATACTTAGCACAGTATATGGCACGTATAACCCATAAACAGAAGTTGCTGTTATTATATCAGAATGTCCTCTCGTGAGATTTGAGAATATGTCCCATGCATGTGTTATTAAAGTAATCTGTAATGAACGTATGCAGACTTGCTTTTAGAATTGGGCTTTCTACCATGGCTATTCCAGTCTTATGAACAACTGCTGTGGCTTTTTTTTCGGAATCAATAATGCTTAAAGCCCTAGGAGCTTGTGTTAGTTACTTTGCTCTCATTGCTGAGACAGAATACCAGAACCCAATGTTAAAGGGGAAAGGGTTTAATTAGCTCACAGTATGTAAGAGGTGTCAGTCCATAATCAGCTGGCTCTGAGGCAGATGGCACATGGCAGAGGGGCACTGCAGAGGAGAAACAGTTCATGGTGCCCACAGGGTAGCAAAAGGAACAAGGGAACCTTACCTGCCCCTTTTATCTTTTTCAGACTACTTAGGGTGGATAGCACTGAAACCCTTAATCCCAGAGCCTGCAGATCTAGCCCCACCATGAATTACTCACACACTCTAGATTCAACCACATCCGAAAAAGGAATGAAGCTTTGGGGAACATTTAAAAACAAGCCATAACAGAATTTAAGCTCTACTCTCAAGTCACCCCTTTTTCCTTCTTGGGGTATGTCTTAGTAATTTTCTGGTATCATGCCTGTTGGACTTTTGCTGCAGATTTTACACATATAAATTCGTAATGATGTAGATAGAGACTCATCTATCTATGCAGAGAACTCTTTACTCTTCATTCCTCTTGCTGCCTTAGATCGGCATCTTGCCGTCTTCCTGTTGTTGGCTGCTTCACGGGCTGTGAAAGTCACAATATGCTTTTAACTCCCAAGTCAGTGAGTACAACTCTGCTCAGCTCCCCGAAGGTACTGGGTGTTTCTTCCAGGCCCATTCAGTTTATTTACAGACCCATGACTTCTGCCTTCATTTGTTGGGGAAAAAAAAAGAGGAGGAATCCCTTGATCTTAGTTCTCTGTCTCTGTAATTGATCTACAAGAAACAACTGATAGGTAAAGTAAGAGAATGTACTTACCCATACTATGTATTCATTGGTGAAACTGTCACTACAATTAAGGTACTTACTGTACCTGTGATAATTGAGAGTTGGAGAAATCAAAGCTCAAGTAGAAACCAAGGGTTAACAAATTTCAAGATCCATGCCAAGGTCTCTACAGCCTGAGTGCTGGTTGGGAAAGCAACCACTGGCTGGTTCTTCTCTGGTGGGAAAACGCACAGTCTATCTGAATCTAGCTACTTCCTTCTTCAGTAAACAAGTTGTGCTAAATGAGCCTAATGTGTTTTTCAACTTTAAATATATGCTGTGTGTTGTAAATCAGTGTACCTTAGTAAAGTTTAAAAAACCTGATTTTCATTTAAAAATGTCAACTTGAAATTAGCATGTGTCTTCTTTTACTCCCAAGAGCCCGCTGAGAATTCATATTATTAAAGAGTCAGGTCTTCTTTGTTCACATATCTTATGCTGAGGTAATAAACCTCTGTTCAAATAGTTTGTTTTAAGTAAATAAAATTGCACTCTTTTAAATGCGGAGCTGTATGACACATTAACAGTTTCTTCTTTTCACAGGATAGTATTTAAGAAACGTATGGAGTAACATGAGTCAGAGTCATATAGGATCTGTAGGCCGTCCCTCAAGGGAGTTGGTAAGAGGATAAGAATTTCTGTTTCCTTCAAACATATCATTTGATTATTTTTCTGACTGTAAACTTCATAGTTTGGTGTTCATAAGAGACATTTTCCTCAATCTTTTATTACTATATGATTTTCAGCCTTACCGATGGTGTGAGTTGTAATAGTTATCCAAAGCTTTGGTTTATTCTTCACTTTTGCCAGAAAAATGTAGATTTTATATAAATAACAGTATTCATAATGATGTAGACACAGGCCCATATGTCTATCTGGGGAGTTGTCTTTACACTTCAGATGTTATTACCAATGACTAAAATGCCAGAGCCCAAAATATAAAAAATATAAAACATCTATAGATGAGCATGTATTATTTATTTGCCAAGTACTACATCTATATTTTTGATGTGAACTGGAATCAAATTGGATTGTTCTGAGATCTGGTGATTTATTTTCTACTGTTCCCATCTTAGGAAAAGAAGAATTTCTAGACTCTTCATCAAGCTCTTCATTTATACAACTGTTAAATCCAAAGCTACGGTGGTGAAAGCATGAAAAAAAATAAATCTCCTGCAGTATCATCCAGTCTACTTGAAAAGTAATTTTTAAGTTAAATTCAGTATGTTTTGAAATATTATGGTTTGAAATATGTAGACTACTAACAAACACTTAGTTAAAAGAGTTTCACAGCTACCTGTAATGTGATCTAGGATAGCAGTAACGAGTAAAACTACACTGAGTTACTGGTGCTTCACTGTGTGTTCGTTTTCCATCGCTGTAACAAAAATAGTTAAGATAATCAACTTATAAGGAGCAAAGATTGAGTATGGCTCGCAGTTTCAGAGGTTTAAATCCATGATCGCTTGGCCTTGTTGCTGGGGCTGCACAGTCCGTCATGGCAGGAGTACATGGTGGAAGAGGTCCATTTACCTCGTGGCAGCCAGCAAGCAAAAAGATAGGAAAGTCCCAGGTCCCTGTATACCATTCAAGAAAATGCCCCCCCATGACCTGCCTTCTTCCAGCTCTCCCCTGCCTCTCCAAAATTCTGCTGCCTCCCAGTAGTGCCACCAGCTGGCAACGAAGCCTGCAACACCTGAGTGCTTGGAGACACTTCCGAACCATAGCACAGCATAAATCAACGTAGAAGATCAATTATGCATTCACCTTAAGATTACTTGTAGAGATTATGTTGTTTTTTTTTTCTAAATTAATTTAACTCTTTGAATATCTAAAATATTTTATAATTATGGTATAAAATTTACATAGGATTAGCTTCTGCTGACTAACCATTCCTAAGTGCTTAAATTATAGGCCCTCATTTTTTTTCTCATGATTCTGTGGGTTGGCTAATAAGTTCTTGTCTGCACCCTGTGTTGCATGCTCTGAGGCCTCGGCTGGGAAGGTTGGATGACTGAGGTGTCTTTCGACCTGGCCTCTCAACCTCAAGGGGCTACCTTGGGCTTTTGCATAATGGATTCCAGCAACAAGGTTAAGTGTTTTTCAAATGTCTGTTTTTCCCACATTTCCTGGTATCTGTTGTCTTAAGTAATCAAATAACATGACAAATTCAAGGGTAGACATGCAGATTTTATTCTAAATGGAAAGGAGCTATGAAGTTACTTTGCCAAAGAACATGCAGACAGGGATGGTCTGGAACCACTAGTGACCATTTTGGGAGCATTTAACATATATTTAACAAAATACAACTGGAGAAGCCTTGATCTTTTTCTTGTCCTTTCTCCTGTACCTTCATTGTTCAGCAGATCAACATTTTTATTCGTGGTTCTTTTTTAATGTTTCTTTTGGATAAATGAAAAGCCAATGGCAGCTTATAGCCTAAGATTTATAATTTGTGAAAAAGCTAGGGCCACAAATGTAGATCTTGTAAATGATAATCAATGAATGATAATAGTGAATTACTTCATGCCAATAAGGAGTGGCTTCACAATTTTAAAGTGAGAACTGGGGATCATAGTGTAAGTAGGCATGGTGAACTAGCCAGTGCTGATAAAAGGGCTGCTGAAAATTACACACACCACTTTGAAGTGATGACACAGAAATGGATTTTGCTGTCATCAGATTTTCTACTGTGATGAAACTGGCCTTTTCTGGAAGAAAATGCCTGGGAGAATATACATTACCCAGGAAGAGAAGAAAACGCTGGACCACAAGCCTATGAAGGACAGGCTGGCCTTGTTGCTATGTGCCAAGGTAGTGAGAGGTGACCTCAAGATAAGGCCTCTCTTGGTTTATCACTGTGAGACCCCAAGAGTGTTCAGAAAGCATAAAGTCATCGAGAATAGGCTAGGGGTCTTGTGGAGATCTAACACAGAAACCTGGGTAACAAGAGTACTTTTTCTTGAGGTTTCAGGGAGGTTTTCTGTCCTTCTGTTAAGAAATATCTAGAGGACAAAGGTTTACCACTCAAGGCTCTCCCCATTATGAACAATGCTCTTGCTCACCCATGAAATTTGAAAGAAGAATCGGCTGAAGAATTCCCATGGCTCTCAGTCGAGTTCCTCCCACCTAATACAACTCCTCTACTACAGCGTATGGACCAGCAGGTTACAGCTAACCTTGAGAAGCTAATACCAAGGAACTGTTCCTGAAGTGCTTCCAGATGATCGCAGATACAGATTTAACCCTTAAGGAGTTCTGGAAGGAATATTACAGCATCCTTTCCCGTGTGGGGTTAATTGAGAAATCCTGGGCCAGTGTTTTTCTAAGGACACTGAGATCTGAGAAGAAAATATGACCTAAAATTATATGTGGGAGAGACTTTGAAGGCTGTGTATAGGAGCCTGCGCCTTCAGATGACCCTGAGGTTGATGACACTGTCACTGTAACATAGTCCACAGGCTTGCAGGTAGACAGTGGTGGGGTTAAGGAACTGGTGTAGGAACACTCCGAGGAACTCTCTACAGAGGAACTTCAGCAACTTTTGGCTGAGCAACAGAGAATGACAGCTGGGAGCTTTCTAAAGAGGAAGGGGAGCATCAATAATCAGTGCAGGTATAAAGGATATAAAGGAATTACTGAGAAAATGGACCTAGCCACAAACATTTGTAGAGAAGACCCACACAGACAGAGAAAAAGCCAGTCCTTCCATTTACCAGCTTAATGAGTGTCATGTCATACTACAGAACAGCGTTAAAGAAAAGGGAGAAACAGACAACCTTAGACCAGTTTTTAGTTCTGAAAATATTGAGACCTAGTGAGCCAGAAGCAAGTCCTTGTGGGCTACAGACTGTCCCAAGGAGAGAAAGGACTCTCTAGAGAGCCAGATTCCTGATGTTCTTTATGGAAGGGGACTCTGCTTCTAAACAATAGCCACCTTCCACTTCGTCCTCCCTTCTTGCAAGCCAAAGATGTCAACATGCATTGTGAGTACAATATGAAATTGTTCTTTTGGAAAACTAGGCACATTTTATAACGTCTTGGTAAATACACTAGGAAAATTATTGGTATTTCTGATAAATTATGTACATTCTACAACCCGCTTTTATTATGAAAAGGTTAGTTAAGGGGTGCTTTGTGGGGGTTTGGAATGTATTATGAGTATTTCCGATATTTCTTAGGGGACATATAGTATTGACTTACAACCAACTTGAGTTACAACCAGCCCTCACCAATGAATTGAGTTCCTAGTCCAGGGTCCACTGTATGTGGATTCTACTCTCCACATTATTCTTAACTAAAAGGTATCATATTATATATCTTCTTTTGATCTTGTTCTTGTGCCCATTTAAAATTATATCCTCCCGGTCACTTTATATTAGTTTATAAAGATTTCCTTTGCTCCTTGTTAAAACTTCATACTATTCTACCCTGTGCGTATGTACCATGCTGTATTCAGCCACTGACTTCTTGAAGGACATTTGGACAATTTGCAATTTTTGGTGAATACAAACTCTGCCAAAATAGAGAGCCGAGCATATAAATCATTTGCTTCATTGCCAGAGGTCTTTGAATAGATCCCTAGAAATTGGGTTGCTGAATTAGAAGAGAAGGTAATTGTTTTGCTGGCGATAACCACTTTCTCTCTTAGAGGTTGTACCGTTTCGTATTTATACTATCAGTGCATAAACGTGCCTCTTTTCCTACAGCTTTGTGATCAGAGTATAGTGTTTAGGTTTTCAATTCTGTTGAGAAGATAAGTGATCAGTAGTATCTTTGCATAGTTTTGACTTGTAATTCTCTTTTTATGGTTAAAGTTAAGTATAGACCACAACAATTTTTAATAGCAAAATACTCTTTGTAAACTAAAAAGAGAAAGTTTTTTGAGAGTCAAATGGAGATGATATTTATTTTGCTTTAAATGTCTACAAGGGTATCAAGGTTCCTTACTGAATTATTAAAATATTTAGTTTTGCTGTCCTTCAGTGATTGTAGTAATCAACAAAAAACGAATCTCTTACATCACTTTTAATCTTTAAGCTTACTTTAAAACTATTTTCAATGTATTTTTCTTAGTTTTACCCAAAAGCCACAAGCATTAGTGCTACAAATTCTTTTATGTTTTGCTTATTTTGTATGACAGCATTAAAAATACAGGAAAAATTCATTTAGTTAATTTTAAATTTAGTCTCTGGTATGTGTTAAGGACTTTGGGTTGTCTAGATCTAAGAATTTGATTTAACAAGTAGTTTAAAGAAGAATACAAGTACAGATTTCTAGCTTAACCTGTGATTGTTACCTTACTTTGTCTTAGGGATCCTGCCTTTCAGATGATTACATTTACCAAAGAAACAGGCCTTGGTCTGAAGATCCTTGGAGGAATTAACCGAAATGAAGGGCCACTGGTATATATTCAGGAAATCATTCCTGGAGGAGACTGTTATAAGGTAAAAATAAAAATAAAAATACTGGGCTTAGAATTTAGCTCAGTGGCATCGCGCCTATCTTGTAAGCATAAGGTCCTGAGTTTGATCCCCGGTAGAAAAAAATATGAGAAAAGTAAAAAAATTGAAACAAAGTCTGTAAATAGGGAAGGGTGGAGGGGGTGAATGGAGGGCAGGGGTATGGGGAAAAAATAAGAACCAAGACCTGTCATGTAAAGATACAAGATCCCAATGATGAATATAACTGTACTGAATACCTAAAAAGTACCAATAAAATCAATGAAAAAACATGTTTAAAAAGAAGAAAATCAAAAGAAAAAAAATGCCATCACTACCCCCATTAAAAAAAAAAAAAAAAAAAAAAAAAAAAAAAAAAAAAAAAACAATGGTGAGGTGTATTTTCAGTATCATTTTAATTTAAACTGAATGTTTTCAGGGAAAAATGCAAAAGGACTGAAAAATTGGCTTTTACCCTCAAGGAGCTTTATCTTAACAGTTGAATGGGTTCTTCATAAATAACAGACATGTGAAACTCTAACTAAAATATAAAGCATATATATGTGTGTGTGTGTGTGTGTGTGTGTGTGTGTGTGTGTATATATATATATATATACATATATACATATATATATATAGTGATATGCTGTTCACTTGATATCCTAAGTAGAATTGAGACAAATTATATTTGAAGATTATCACCTACCACTGTGTGTTTGGATTAAGTTGGATAAGTTGTATTACACTCATTTAGCTTCTCCTAAGTGCATATTAAAACAAAACAACCCAAAGCAACAAGCAAAATATACTCATTACTGAATTTACACTCATGGAATTTGTTAATAATTTCAGTCATTAATTGCCCACATGAAAAATTACCTTTAGCATTAAGACCAGACCAGAAAATTTTGTGGTTTTTTTTCCCTTTACTCTCTTTTCTTCCTTCCTTTCCTTCTATTATTTTTTCTCTTTTCAAGAATTAGAAAGGCTTACTTGCCTTCTCAGTGGAGAAATATGCAATATCATGAGTGCTTTTTGCTGTGGTCCCTAAGACACTGAAATCCACATTTGAAGCAAAACTCTAGCAAATTAGTTAACAGACTAGAGCTGAATTTGCCTTATCAGTTCTTTGGGGTTTCATTTGCTATTTTTCTTTTACTGCCACAATTATATATTTGTTGAAAACTGCCTCTATTTTTGAGGAGATATAACATATAAGAATTTAACAAAATATTAATATCAAGCTATATATAGCACAAAAAAGGATTCACTTAAGTTCATTCTTGCTGGTGTTGTTCTTGTTTTGGTTAAATAAATAGTTCTATTTTTCTGTCTCTTTCACTGCAAGCACTTATTTATCAAGCAATTATCTTTTAAACTGCATCTTTCCTTTTCCTTAAGAAAATAATCAGAGGCTGAGGCAGGAGGATTGCTGTGAGTTCAAGACGAGCCTGGGCTACATAGTGAGTTCCAGGACAGTCTGAACTGCATAGTGAGACCCTGTCTCAAAAAAACAAACAAACAAAAACAAACAAAGAAAATAATCAGTTTCACCAAAAACTTTTCATTTTACTTGTTTCCGACTTGTTTAACCAGCATCTTTTGAAATATATAGTTTAATTTCTGTGTATTACAAATGTTTAAGATATTATAACGATGTGACTTTTTAACTGCTAACTACTAACCAAATAAAAGCATATTCAGATGTTGTAATTAAACAAATTCAAATGGACAAAAAAAAAAAATGAATATTCTCCTAAGAATCGAGATGCTCAGTACTAATGTAGTTTTAAAGCTGAGGCAGGTGTGGAAGGTGTGTGGGTGTTTAGTATAGCTAAGGTAGTTCTTAGATTACACTTGATGTGGTACAATAGTAGATCAAGGTGCCCACCAAATAGCACTAATTTGTTTTTAATATAAGCATCAAAAATTGTGCTTTTTTATTTCTATGAAAAACATTTTCAACTCAGAACAATAAATTGATAACCAGTGGTGCCAAGTGACTTTATGCAGTCATTGATTGCAAACGAGGTCATCATACTTACTAGCCACACTTTGTCTTGTTGGCTGTTTTAGAACTGCATTGAAAAAGTATAAAAATTAAAACTTTCTAACAAATTGTGTTCTCTACTTACCACCAGAGGGCAGCACAGAGTTATTAATGGTCTTGTGATAGCCAATAAAAGAAAACCACCAAAATAAAGAGGCAGAAGCGTGAGTAATTGTCTAGGGCTTACATTTAGTTTTTAATATTTCCTCAAGAGGGAAAGACATATGCATTTGATATGCAAATACAAAATAGATGCAATTTTGTTTTTAAGTAATAATAAAACATTTGTTATAAACACCATTTTAGCCATGTTAGTAAATCTCTAATCTGTACAAAATTTCTACACAGTAAATATATTCATAGAAGAAATACCTGGTTAGCCATGCTCCCCACAGATGTCTTCCTCCTAGCAAATATGAGAATACAGTATTTGGGAACCAAAATATCGTATTTCTTTGAACAACATACTTAGAATTCATGGACACAGCTTTCCAGGTGAAACAGGAAAAATGTTTAGTCCTAAGAGCTAGAGGCAGTCTGCAGGTTGATAGCAAACATTCCGGATAGAGGTTTAAAGAAATATGAGAACTCCAAAGCCCATTTTATCCCCTCAGCCTTTCCCCTGTCCATCGGGAGTCCTCAGTCTTTGATCTTGAGACCTTCTGCTGGCCTAGCTGCTCTTTTGAACATCTTGCACAATGAGATAATCTTCTGACCAAAACTCTGACTTAGATTTTTGAGACAGCTTCTCACTATGTAGTTGAGGCTGGCCTGGAATTCATGGCGCTCCTCCTGCCTCAGCCTCCCAAGTGCTGGGATTACAGGTAGCGGCCACCACGCCCAGCTGACCTGGATTTCCTAAAGGCCACACAAAGTCAATACTGCTGAGCCAGAATCTGTCATTTTTACCCCACATCTTCCTCAGTCAAGGCCTCTGCCGGTGACGGGTGGCCCCTTCCACTTGGGTACAAGTTAGAAAACCTGCCAGCCGCCTAGCCACTCCCTCGTCCACGGCAATCAGACCCAGCTCATCAGCCCACGCTGTTCACTCTCCTGTCTTTTTAGCCCGTCGACCTTTGTGCTGCTCTCTCGTCACCACAGCTTAAACTTGCACCCGTTTCTGTCAGCCCTCGCAGCGGCACTGCCTGCTCTTCTGCACCATGCCAGCTTCCCTTCCTTTTGAATACTTGGTTGCCTACAAGGCCCGGGGTGCGGTTGCTTGTGCCCGAACTCGTGTGGCACCCATCAGACGTTTCCTTGGTGTGAGAACGTCACACCTACCATCTGCTCAGTATTAACGTCCTTTGGTCATTCTGTCATATTTCTGAGGATTACCAGTCTGCCTCTTTGCCATTAAACTAACACCTCCAGAGCAGCACTTTTTTCCATTTCCTAAAAGGGCCAATTTATTCCTCCCTTCATGTACTATTCCATTAGAATGAAAATAGCACCCGCTTCCCATTGCGTTACCTGCAGATATCAATGCGGTGCCTCTTTCCTCAGGGCTGAATTCCCCGTTCTCTGCTAGTTTGTCTGGAAATAGGGCCTGGCTTTACTTTTCCTCTACGTGTTCCTAGGTCCTTTTCCTTTCCTTTACATCCTATTCCAAAGCTATTTCAGTTTATAATGATACATACGTATCTTTGGTTATTTGTAATGTATATATCTGTGCCGAACACAAGAGAATATGTTTCCCAAGGACAAGATTTCCAATTTTGTTCATATAATTTCCTTAGTGTGATGCATGACACATGCCAGTTGCCCAATTAATATTAATGAATGGAGTTTAAAGAATACCTTCGGTCCACGATTGGTGGAAGTGTGGGAAAGGAATCCAAAGGCTTGCAAAGGAGCATTCCTTTCAGGAACAATAGTCAGTTCCATCCGAATGAGGCTGTAAGGGATGGTTTCTGACAGTTATTTGGTAAACTGCAATACCGTCATCCCTGGAAATGAATAATGCTGGTAGCTGTCGAACAGAAGTACTTACGAGTGCACGGTTTGGAATACATTGTTATTTCAACGTCTAGAGGCGTGTCAGTGTGAAAGAGTTCCTGTCTGAAGTTCAGCCTGCAAAAGTGTTAGGCACGCGGCACCCCCAACCCCCACGCAGTTACGCAGTTGCGCAGTCAGTGCTGAGTGGGAACCTAGACCAAGGGATGGTCCCAGCACACCCGCCCCTAGTATCTTCACATACACAGTAATCCAGCCGAGGAAGCGCTCACTCCCGTACAATGCCAGACTCTTCTAGCTTTGTTTTTCCTTTGCAGGTTCTGATTTTTCAACAAGTTCAGAAATTCACATGATCAGCTAAGATCTTATTCTGGGCACCAAGGGGGGAAAAACAAACTGTTGAAAATACTCTTTAGAAAGTAAAAAAAAAAAAAAAAAAAAAACCTAAACGCCACAAATCCTGCTCAGAATGCATTGTTCTTCTTGTCTGCTCTGACTCTTACCCTGATGGAAAATGCTCCTTCGTTGTGCTAGGCAGTTTAATGCAACATAGGTTAAAGCGCCTTCGTGAAAGCTTTTCCTCTGAACTGCTAACCCCGGTCGGCCCAGGAGGAGGACGTGGGAGGCTGTGGGTCAGCCTAAACCCCATTGCCCTCCTCCTGTCTTTCCTTAGCCTTTTTCTCTGCAACCCAGACAGCTGTGATTTCTGTACGATGCATCGAAACAGGAGCTCTTGCCATATACTTTAGAATTTAGTTCTGAATTCACAGTGAACAAGGCGGTGCGCTCCTCCGTTGTCCTTCCCATTGTTTGTGACGATCTAGGTACTAATTTGCAGAACTCGAATTCAATTCAGGTCCCTCTGACTGCTGAACTCTGTGCTCTATCTGCTTCCGTTCCTTGCCTCAAAAGGCTTTTATTCGTGTGAAAGCTAGTTTCCCTCGGGTTAATAATCATTGCATAATTTTCCCTTTTCAAGGAAAGTTAATAAAAGGAAAAATTATTAATACTGGGAATGTCTATATTTCAAAATTCTAATTATTAGAGTCTGCTACCACAATTCTAAAAGAAACTTTCCCTGTCACTGTCTTTTAAATGCTTTGATCAAGTGACATAGTGATTTATCCCCCCACCTAGATTTTTATCAGGCAGGCTGTGGGATACAAATCGACAGTAAGGTAGTCATTAAATTTCATTTAAAACCTATTTTATTAAAATGTTTCTTAAAAGGAATTACTCTGCAGATTCCCTGCATTTAGAGATGAATTTAACAACTTACGAAGCATGATAAAACAAGCACCAGTGACTCCGTGTCAACTGACTTAATGAGAAATAGAAAAGTGAACTGTTAGCGAGACCGTGTGCTTTTCCTAATCACACGCTCCCCCCTCACTCCCACGGAACGAACCCTCCCTAGAAATGCAGTCATTTCTCCCTGGTTTTTACTAGCTTTTGTTACCATTTCACAATGCCCTTAAACTAAAATTTAGAATATTAAATTATAAGTGAATGGACGCAAGCAGCTGAGTGTATGCATCTAAATATCTAATAAATATAATGAACAATTAACAAGATTTGGGCCCAGCCATGCAAAGCTGTGATTATAGAATCTTAGAAAAATAGCCTTTCTGTTTTATTGAACGTGAAAGAAAGATCCATGTGTTAGGCACTTTTCCCATATTACTTGGTTTTTTCTAGCATTGTTATTGCGTATTTCTCCCCATATATTTGCCAAATGTAAGGAAATCAATGACTTATGGCTATGCCCATTGTATGGTATATTGTCTGACTAATATATTTAGTCATAGACTTACAGAAAATCCAAGTTAATTTTCAGATTTTACATACTTTAAAGTCAAATGGCCTTTTTTGTTTGAAGTTTTTGTTTGTTTATTTGTTGTTAGGTAGGATCTTACTATATAGTAGGCCTTAAACTCATTATCTAACCCAGGCTGGCCTCAAACCTGAGGTGATCCTTCTGCTTCAGCCTTCCAAGTGCTGGGTTTATAGGCATGTACTATCACACCCGCCTGGTTGAAGTTTTTTAAATGTTTTTATTTCAGAAGGATTATAGGGTCATTATGCATTTAAACTGTAAACCTCTTATACAGTATTTGAAATAATGTTCCTAAAAGATCTTTTGATGAATATTTCATATTTATTTAGCTTTCCTCTATATTCATCCATGAGTGGAAGAGATAATACTACATATTGGTACCTTTTTGAAAAAAAATAAGTAACTTTTTATTTAGGAATAAAATTGTAATAAATCACTATTTTATGAGTAAAGCAGTTCAGATCAAAGCTAGTATTTTAGGGCCATATTTTAGCAGAGAAGACTTTAAAGTAAAATGTTTCCTTGAATTGTGGAAGTTATTTCAGTACCATCAGAGTGCAAAATCTAGCTTTTTAACCTTCATGTTAATCAGCCTTCTGTCACTCTTACAAGTACTTGAAGTTATCGGCGTATGAAGAGAGGATTTATCTAGGTTTGCAGTTTTAGGGACTGCAGTCCATGGTCAGGGCTACATGTCACATCACTATTGGGCACACGGTAAGGCAAAAGCATTCACTTCACGACAGGGCAGCAAAAGGAAGGAGAAGAGGGTCTCTCAGTCTCTAACAGCTTCCCCCTGGGACCCTCATGCCCTCCCGCTAGGCCCTGCCACGAATTTTCCACTTTTTCCTAATAGTGCCAAGCTGGGCACAAGCCCATAATACAGGGCCTTTGGAAGACACTCACGATCCAAACCAAAGCACCATACAAGCTTTGTCCATGGTTACAGAAATGATGCTTTCTGCCTTCATGCTGTTGATACACAGAGAAGGATCTTAGGAACTGAAAAAGAAAGGGCTATTTTCTTTAGTTTGAAGAGAAAAAGAAAAAGAAAGTCGCTGAAAGTCTTGCCTCATAAGTAACTCCTCTAGGTGATTTGCTGTGTCTTACTCATATCAGGCTAGTTATGAGTGAAGCCAGGACTTAACAAAGACACCAGGCAGCCAGTTAAAACTGGTTATTAATAGCAAGGCATGGCAAAAATGCTAGATGCACAGCCATTGAGGCCTCATTATAGGAGAGATAACAGATCTAATAAGGTGTTTGATTCATGGGTGGGATCAATCCAGTTAGGGTCCTGTACTAAACTAAAAAATTCAGTCCATTTATTCTACAAATCCACATTGGGCCATTAGGTGGGAGAAAAGATGCATGAATCCTCACAAACTAAAGGAGTCTTACTTTCTGAAATATCCCATGAGTATTTAATTTGGCTTCTTTATCACTGAATCAAATCTTTTTTTTATTAAGTTTATTGGTACAATCTAGGTATACAATACAATTACATTCATCATTGGGATTCTGTACCTTTACATAATAGGTCTTAATTCTCAGTTTTCCCCTTGTCCCTGCCCTCCCTTCACCCCCTCCTCCCCTCCCCATTTACAAACACTTTATTTCCATTTTTCAGTTTCTTGTATTTTTTTCCTCTCCCTTATTACCTTTCCCCCACCCTTCCCACTTTCCCTACACCTTTAGCCCTTTACTTCCTATTTCACATTATTAATTATCTCATTAGGATCCTGTGTACTATTATAGTCTTCCACACCAGAGAAACTCACTGAATCAAATCTTAACCAGTCCTGTAGTGCTGAGTGTTTGAAACAGGCCTCCATTCCTGCTCTACACACCTGGCTCTTAATATCAGCAGGATTCCTTAGCCTGCAAATTTATTCATGGATTACATGAGCCTTGTACTTGTATTTATGGATATTGCCAAATTAGGCTTTAATCAAGATATTTTGCTATTGAGATTCTCTTAAGTTTTTGAGACATTCTTCCCCAAAACTTGTTTTGCTTTAATTGCATTCCAGCGATTTAAAAAAAAAAATCATTTCATTAATTTCTTTATAAATGTTACTGTTTTTGTTAGGATGGGCGTTTGAAGCCAGGAGATCAGCTTGTCTCAGTAAACAAGGAATCTATGATTGGAGTTTCATTTGAGGAAGCAAAAAGCATAATTGCCAGAGCCAAGTTGAGGTAATGATTCTATGCCTAAGATAGACTGAGTCATTTAGCATGTCTCATTAAAAATAATAGCTTAAGACATCTTGAGTTCATTTGACCTCGCACGCAATATTTTTAATCATATTTGAAACATGATTTTAGAATTCAGTTGTATTATATCCCCTGCATATTAATAAAGTGATTTCTTTCAAATGCTAGGTCCAAATCGACTTGGGAGATAGCATTCATAAGACAAAGATCGGATGGCTGCCCCCATCCAGAAAATTTGTCCTGTACCTCTTTGTTACAAGCTTCAGAATACGGACCCCAGGCCACACCATTTAGTCTTCTTTCTTCTCCCCGGGAAATACTCACTCCACAGACCTCATCTACTCCCAAAACGCAAGAGGCCATCCTACCTTCCTCTAAGATGAGTCAGGTAGTCTTAAATTTCTCTGCATATATCCCTTATGTTTTTCCTGTTGGTTGATAGATGCAGAATTGTAATTTCAGGAACACTTTTATTAGCAGATTAATATTTCCCCAAAAGATATCTTCTTTCTCTGGTTTAGACTTGTATGCTCCATTGTCAATAAACATAATTTTTCAAATCAAAGTGTCCTACATTAAGAAGCATGGTCGGACAGTGTCAGCATGACAGAGTGCTACCGTAAGGGTACAACTAGACATGGCTCAGAACTGTGTTAGCAATGTGATATTCAGTTTTAGGTAGTCTCTAATATGGCCCAGTTCACTATCATTTTTAGTTTCTGCTTGACAGATGCTAGGCCACTACTTTTTCTTCTACCTCTTAGCTTCTTTGCTACACAGTGAAGCTCATTCTGATCATCCAGTGTAGGTGGGTAGGGTATTGCTTTCATGTGTGTACACTAGAAAACAGCCCTGTTGGACTCATGCAAGGTGGAAGATTTCTAATATCAAAATAATGCAACCAATTACTACAGCTAGATTGTCCTAAAAGTCGGAGTTATAAAACAGAGTATATTCTGTAAAGCTGTGTCAACTCTAAGATAATACAGGATACTCAAGTAGGCGTTCAGGCAGTGGAATAACTTCCTTGAGGGTAACTTTGCTTTCAGATGCATGCTGATCAGGGACAGGGTGTAAGATTTTCTGTCGGCCCCTTATACTGTGTCATTTTGACTTATAATGTCTTCAAAGAGACAAGGTACATGGCCTTATGTTTTGTTACCCTTGTTCGCAGTAGAGTTGAAAGTAGTTCCTATCTTCAATCTGTAGTGCTTTGTTTGAAAAGGAATATACCAAAATTTTAGCGGTTTTACATTTCTGGGATATTGCTCTAATCTCTGTAGCCATTCTTTTCGTGTTCGTGTGAACATCTAGTCTGGTCTTTGACCTACTTTAGAAAATGACATCGCATGTTCCTCACCTTCTTTCACAGATAAAAACTGGGTATGAGAAAGCAGAATCCCCTCCAGTCACTTCTTCAGACAGCAACTCTATGGATGTGGCTACTTCAGGTAAATACGCATTGAATTCCTCTTTTCTGTTAGTTTTTTCAATTACTCTCTCTCAATGAAGAGAACACAATACTTGCATTAAGCCTTTTTTCCTTCCATGGATAATAGAGCAAAATGAATGTATAACCCAGTGGTCCCTGTTAGATTATAACACTTATTGGAAATTTCCTTGAACAAAGGGTTGACATTTTAAACGGTACATTATCATAAGTATCTCCGAAACTATCTTATTTAATGAACTGTTGAGACCAAACAATAAAAACGCCTGTAAATCTAGATTAGGTTGCCTTGACCTGTTAATGACATACTAATGGGGCATATTGACTGTACCTTTCAAAAAACACATTATAAAAGGCCGCGCAGCTTAAGAAAAGAATTGTTTTGTTTATTTATTTTGGAAGAAATCATATGGATGTAAGTTAGAAAAGGCATCAATACTGTGAATTCGATATTATTGGTTTTTTGTTTATTCAGAAATGGTTTACTGACTTTTTAAAACAATAAAGCAAAAAAATGTCTAAGCTGCCCATAAAAAAGGATTATTATCAAGGTATAAAATGCCGATTGGGTCGAATATAAAGGAAAAATATCCTTTCCTGAAATTATTTACCATAAGTTTAACAAAATAGCAGTTAAAAAACTAACATAAACAACAAGCTAATTATATATTGCTAAATTATAGTGCAAGTTGCTACCCATATAATTTAATTTTTAATAGCGTTGTCTAGATGATAATTTCAAAATAGAAGGAGTTAGTTAAACTGAACAGTTGCCAGGCATGGGCCGGACGAATATCCCAGGAGTAGAACACATGCTTCAGACACATACCCAAACTGCAAAACCACCATCCCCGCAAAAACCCACCTGACTTTACAGGAGATTGTGCTAGTTCCATAGCAATTCCCTCTGATTTGAGACAGTATTTACCAATGGGTCAACAGTCCTTTGTAACCAAAATGATGGGCCTTTTAGTCTAGCGAGATCTGTTGACTCTTAGAAACTTTGTTAAACAGCCTTTAATACTCAGTTTTGTGGGGTTTTTTTGTTTGTTTGTTTGTTTGTTTTTGTTTTTTTTTGTTGTTGTTGTTCTCTGGGATCAAACTCGGGACCTTGCACCTGTGAGGCAGGCGGTGGAACCACTGAGCTAAATCCCCAGCCCAATACTCAGTTTCTTGATAATTTCTGTTTTACTCCCAACTGGGAACCCATGTGAGAAGAAAAAGGTGAATGAAGCCAACAGTTGGAAGAGATGTGGCATCAAAGTTGCTAGAGGCCATGGCCCTTTATTCCTTGATTTTTATCATAAAACATTAGTTATAGAACATTTTGTAATGTTTTCAGTTTTTAAAGTAATGAAACTACTCAGTCCCTCTTTTAGCCATTTATTTATTCAGGGAGTGTTTGTTAAGTATATCACGTGTGTAGAAGACTTGGTATTGCAGAAATGATAAAGAGCTTAGGATTTTTCTATCAGGTACTTAATAGCATATTATGAAATCAATCACAGGGTTAAAATGTTTCATTATTCAAATTATTAAACACCTTATATATTATTTTATATATATGGATAGATGGATTTTATAACACCTTTGCATGAATAATTCAGACATTAACAGTGGGCTAAGGGAAGGAATAGCAGTCTAGTTAACGATGGAGGGAGGGTACAGTGGCTACTATAGGTTCAGAACGCAAACTTTGACATTCAAATGCTTGCTCCCCACTTACTGGTTCTGTAACCATAATGTGGCTGCCTCCTGGGGTTGTCGGAAGGGTTAAACAAGATTGTGCATGTCAAGTACTTGGCACTGTAATTGGTAGACAGTAGGTGCTCAGCACATGTCCCTGTTACTATCAATATTGTAGAGCCTTAAACTAGCGTGCAGCTGAGATAATACTTTAGGGGAGATTTCTAGAGTAGAAGTGAAAGCTTTTAACACTCGATTGAATGTTGTATCCTCTCTTCAACCCCCAAATTAGTACACGGTAAAGGATTTGTCATAATGTACAGAAATCAATTTAGAAAAATCTCATGGCAGCTGGACATGGTGGTATATGCGTGTAATCCCAGCACTCTGGGTACCTAAGGAAGGAGGATTACAAGTTCAAGGCCAGACTAGGCAGTGGAGTGATTTAGGGAAAACCTGCTTAAAATAAAAAATAATAAAAAAGAGCCAGGGAAGTAGGTAGCTCAGCATAAAGGCTCAAAAAAAAAAAAAACTATGAACAAGTTTTAATATTAACCCAACAAAAATTCAGGAGGTATTCTAACTCTGTTCATATCTCAAAATCATTGCAAAGGATAAAATTGGTAGAATTTAAAAAATAAGCATAATACCTGGATATTTTTAAAACTATCCCAATATATGTTAGAGTTGTTTACTCTTGCCATAAATTGAATAACGCAAGAGTTTGTGAGCTAAAAGTATGCTGAAGTCATTCCCAAGGGAAGAAGCAATACGGTCATTACCTTAACAATAGCACGAGCCTTCATCATTCTTCTGCATCAAGTCTTTTGAAACAAAATACTGATGAGGAAAAATGTCCTTCAAGGGCTCATGGAATTAAACAAATGGCATTGATCCCTCCCTTATATACATCCCCTTCCTTTCTTCTGTTTCTAAAATGAGGACTAGGAACAGAAAATCTAAAAGCTGTACTTTGAAACATCTCACCTGGCTGGAGAGGAGCAGATGAGGGGCTGGAGATGGATAGAGAGACACCACTAGCGGATGAGCAGAAGTGTCTGTTCGAGGGGGTTTTCAGGCTAAGCTCCTCTCAGTTGCCAGTGCTTAGTGGTCTCATGCAAGACCCTCTTAAGGTTTGAATTCAGAAGTAAAGATTTCAATGAAAGTAGGTTGAAAAATAAAAAAAAAAAAAAAAAAAAAAAAAAAAAAAAGGCATGGTGACGTACACCTGTAATCCCAGCACTCAGGAGACTGAGGCAGGAGGATCGCTGTGAGTTCGAGACCAGCCTGGGCTACATAGTGAGCTCCAGGTCAGTCTCCACTACATAGTGAGACCCTGTCTCAAAACAAAAACAAAAAAAAAAAACACAAGATTTTGTTAAGCCATGATACATGCTGTTCAATGGGAAGTTAATATAGTTTTATATTAAATCACCGATTAGCACAGCATCTTTGTGAATATTAACAATACTTTCTATTTTTGTAATATTTTTCTGTGATTTTATTGATTTTTACCTTGACAGCTCCCATAGGTAGTCAGTTTTATTCTTCCCACTTTCCCAAGGAGAAAATGATAATGAAAGATGTTGACACAGAAGAACATCTGTTTGTGCAAGGCATAAGAGATTAGAATACGGACATTGTCATGTGCTAGCTGTGTGGTACTGGGCCAGTTTCTGAACCTTTGCCAGCCTTGGTCTTTGGAATGAGAGTAGTAACGCCTATGTTAGTGTGGTGATGGTGAAGTTTAATATATATGTACAGTAATTAGTTCATTCCATGGCTAGAAATAAACACACATAGGAGCTAATTCTTTGTTACTTCCACTGTTAGAAATAGCAAATTTTTGTGCTCAAACACAGGAAAATGCGAGAACAATGTCATCTCAGTGTGTCCTTGACTCTCCCTGTCTTTCTCCTCTTTTTCTCTTGCCCCTGTGTTTTCTACATCTCTTCCACTCATGGGAAGTTGAGTGATTCAAGCTCCATCTTGGTCCCAGGCCTTAACTCAAGTGTCCCCCTAGTGTTAGGGTCTATTAATTGCAGGGCAAACTCCAACCCTGGAAGCCAAGTCTCAAAAGATGAGAAATAAAGTTGACTTATCTGTGGTTTGGTCTTTCATACCATTTCAGGAATCTTTTATGCCAAGCTTTAGGTCTTTCTATAGAATTGGTTTTAAGAGGAAAAATATTTTTTACCCCATGGCCAACAATCAGATGTCAGGATAACAGAGGAGACTTTCTTGTTTTTATCAGAATTATAAAGATTCTGTTACACTAAAACCAATCTTTCTCAAGGTTTAATTCCATTTGGAGCTAAAAGTCAGTAACCATTTTTTATAATCTTGACACCTATAAGCTATATTAAAGATTTTACATAGAATGTTGAGGATGTGTTAAAGGTTTAGAGGAAGACTATTTATTTTCATATGCACTTCTTATGTTCTTAAGAAAGAGAATGCAAATCATTTTGTACTTAGAGACAGATGCTCTGAGAAGTAAAAAAAATTAAAACACTGCATAAAGATGTGACATTTTAAAAAGTTTTTTTCTCTTCCTCTTCTTTCCATGTAGAACTAGTAAAATACCATTTAAAAGTGTATTTAAAATAATGACTGTTTAGATGGTAAGGGTTGATATAAATTATAGATATTTGTTTCATGCACTCTGGCATATGGAAACAAGTAGTTTTTTTCAAGTTCTAGCCTCTTGTGGCACGTGATTTCTTATTTCTGCACCAAGGACAAAGGGTGTAGTCACATAATTAGGGCATATTGAAAAGGTATAGGAAAATAGGCAAGGGGTGTATTACTCTCTTCTCCTCTAAGTCTGTGTTTGTTACGTGAGGTATAACCCCAAGACAGGGTTTTTAGCTCAAAAAGTTCTGTGTCTAGATCATACTTTATCTACAAATGTAAGATGACTTTCATTTATGTTTTTTTTTTCCAGTGCACTTCCAGAATTCACATAACAGAACCACTTTTACCAATCAGAGATACCATGATCTTTTTGGATCTTTGATACAACTTTTTTTTTTTTTTGAACAAAATCTTATCTTACAACGAGTAAGTTGTGATGATGGTCATAGCGGGGGAATATGTTTGTCTTTTAAGTCACTATTCCCATGAGACTCCGCAGTGCATAATTGGATACTCTTTTTATATTATATCTTTGAGGGCTCAAGTAAAACTGATTCATGTGGTGCATATTAAACCTACAGGGAAAAAAAAAACATGAAAACAAAAGTGAAAACTGCCAACTGATTAACCAGAATTACTTTTGAACAGCAGGAGTCCAGAACACATCCTGTCAAATGAAAAGTTCTATTCCAATTAAGCCTCCAATTAATGTGCACCCTGTTGTCTCTTAGATATTGCTCCTGCTTGGACTGATAATTATGGACCACAAGGAAAGATTTCCCTAAATCCTTCTGTTCGCCTTAAGGCAGACAAACTGGAAATGGTAAATCCCTTAAATTTTCATTTTTCTTTCTAAGGCAATGACAAGTACTGGAGTCATTAGTTTCCTGAAGCTACTTATTTACAGTTAAGTGAATGGCAGTTAGGGTTTAAATTATTTAATTACTGCTTCAATTTGGCAGATCCTAGGGTTCAGTAGTCCCACATGGAAATAAAACCTTTTGTAACTAAATTGACATGCACATTAATCAGTTTCTTTCTCTTTGGAAAGAAGAAATATATGCTATTTTACAATCTAGAATCAGTGGAAACATTGAATAAATTAGGACAAAGTATATTAGGCTTTGTGTATAACATCAATAAGTGCAATGAAGTGATACTCGGTTCATTTGCTCAATTTTTTAAAAAGCATAGGATCACTGAGTCCTAAAGGATAAAATAGTCAGGTGCCCACTAAATTTATAAAGGGTGGCGTATGTTTATAATCCCAGCACTCAGAAGGCAGAGGCAAGAGGATCCCTGTGAGTTTGAGACCAGCCTGAGCTACATAGTGAGTTCCAGGTCAGTCTCAACTGCATAGTAAGATAAGACCTTATCTCAAAAAAACCAAGAAAATTAAAAATTTTTTAAAAATAAAAATAAAGCCTACAATAAATCTAAAATTTTACAGGATATAAAGTTGTGATATATTGATAATTTTCAAACATAGAGAACTATAGGGAATCTTCGTATGTACAAAAATTAATATAACATAAATTTACATAAAGACATATTTGTCGAAACATCTGGAATATTGCATACCAAGTTGTTAATAGTGTTTGTCTCTAGTGTAGTGGTTTTTAAGGACTAGAATGGTGTTTTTTTTCCCTTGGGACATTTGGCACTATCAAGAAACAATTTTGGTTGTCAATATTAGAACATTGCCTCCACAATTTTTTTTTTTTCTGGTACCAGGGATTGAACTCAGGTCCTTGCACTTGAGAGACAGGTGGTGGAACCACTGAGCTAAATCCCCAGCCCCATACCTCCAAATTGTTATCAGTAATAAAAGATACATCTTTAAAACTCTTTGTATGAAAATGTAAAACAGATTTCTGTATGACTCGTGAGTCAAAAGCACTGCTAATAAATGTAAAAGATGTTTAATCTCACTTATAACTCGGTTTAACAACATACTAATTCACATTTACCATTTGATAAAAAATTAATGTAAAGAATCCTGTTAAGAATATAGGAAAATAGGAATGTTTATGTACTACTGGCATGCATAGGTTGGTACAGTCAATTTAGAGAAAAATCTAAAATGTCTAATAAGTTCACAGTGTATATCACCTGTGACTCAACCCTTCCTTTTTAAAGGATATACTGTACTATACAGAAATCAAAAAGTCTTCATACAATTTTAAAAGAAGACATATGTAATATTTTGTGATTTAAAAAAAATGATTGGAGTAATTATAAAAGCCCATCAATCAGAACATAGTAAACAAGTTATAATATATCCATGTAATCAGGTGTCATTGATAGTTAAAATAAATGAACTAGTTTTGCAGATAATATCAAGCCATTATAAAATCATAAACTGGAAGTAAAAGAGTTATCCTTTTATATTATTCTGTTTATGTAAAATTTTAAATGCACAGGATTAGCATCTTCTTGAGGGTAACATCAAATTCCAGACAGGAGGGATACACCACCCTGAGGATATTGTTTGTTGCTAAAGAATAATAGAGAAAGCTTTCAACTAAACCTGTAGTTTTATTGTTTTTTAAACTATATATAAAATTTAAGCAAATATCAATGTTTATTTGATGATAGTGATATAGGAGAGGTATAATTCCCAACCTGCTAGACGTCAGACCTGTCAGGTCTGTGTCCCCCAAATATCTAAGAATGATTTCCAAGGGACAGTGGAGGTTAAGAATTGAGGCCCTTTGTCTCAGGGGTAATTCATACAGCAACGTCAAATGCAGGTGCAACATGGGTCAAACTACATTCAGCTTACAGGATTACAAGGATAGCTGCTTAGCTAACATTGATCCAGTAGGGAAGCAAGGCACACAGCAAGGTTACATGGAAAAAATAAAGGCATTTTGGGGAAGGGATGACATCATCCAGATGCTCTGGTCACCCACCTGGGCAACTGATGACTAACTGGACTTCCAGGACCAGGTGGTGCTAATTACAGTATAATCTCAAGTTATTGTTTATTCCTTGGGGGAAGCGTGTAGGCCTGGCCATCACGTCTTTATCTTGAGGCCTGGCCTTCTTCAGATGCACCTCCAGCCGCAATTCTGAGGTCTTTATTTTCTGCTGACTTCCTTGAGCCCCAGTCCCTCTCTGACTGTATAATTTTTTCTATCTAACTCGGGTGCCTATAATAATAGTAAATAAATGGATATTCATCGTATTATTCTATTTTTTATATTTGGGCCATTTTTATCGGGAAAAAACACACACACAGAAGCTAAAAATCATTATGCCATGTTATACAAGGTAAATACTCTTGAACTTTGACAGAGCACGCAGATGATGCTAAGCTTAAGAAACTGGAAAGAATGTTTCCTTATATTCTTTTCTCCTGTCTCTTCTTTTCACTATGCCCAAATTATATACTGCTTTTACATTAAACAGTTGGGTTTTTTTTTTGCCGTTCTATACCTTGTACATATTTGTATTAAATTACATATTTAATTACTGTAATTATTTAATGTTATTCTCCCACTACAGACAATAGACACTCTCCAAGTGTAGGAACTCTATGTCATTTGTCTCTCCCTTGTACATAGATTTGTACCTGACCAACAGGAAATTCCAAATAAATATTTGGGGAATGAAATGGTAAAAGACTAGACATATTCTCAACAGAGAGGAAAACTGTGAGGGATAATTAGCAGTAAGGGATAACTCTGCCTACCTCTGAGTTCTGCTATGATTGATTGATACTGTGTATATTCTTATCAGAATCCAATAATAGGGCATCCAGTCAGGTCCTGTGCATTAAGTTTTACTATCTCTGGCTAGAGAACCTACAATCATACTTGTTTCCATTAGAAGTTTATTTCTTACATAAAAAGAAGCCTAAAAAAAAAAAAAGCAGTCCAGGGCTAGCATCAAGGCTAAATTCAAGGACCCTTATTCCAGTCTGTGGGGCAGAAAGATAGTCTCTGTTTCACCATCTTTATCGAGGTGTGTCATGAGTCAAGATGCCAGCTCACAGTCCAGCTATATATTTTTTTCTTTCTCCTTCTCCTCCTCTTCTCTGACTCCTTCTCCTTCTTCCTTCAGCCAAAGATAGAAAGAAAAGGGAGTAATAGGTGTGCCTACCTCTGCTTTTGAAAATAGGCTTCCTGGAATGGCAGTGTCCCTAGCTGAAAACTGGTTGGTTCTGCAACAAGGAGTGAACAGTGGAACTCAGCTAGCAGTCTCAGAATTTTTATTCACAAATGGGTACTTTACCCATAACAGGAAAGCCCGTCAAAGAGAAGTAGGGGCTTGAGAAAGCTTATTCCTTTACTGTTTGTGTAAGCCTACCCCCGATATAAGCCCCAAATTAAAATATTCATTTAAATCAGTTCCTGCCAATTTCAGTTTTGCTTTCAAAGGTTGAGTAATAACCCAAAACTATTCATGTTTTGGAGTGTCACTCATAAGTCTGACTTTAGTAGGACTCTCTCTTTTTTTTCTTCTTCTTCTTCACCAAATCATGTAAACTAAGAAACAGTTTGACTTTTGGTTCTGGAGCTAAGCACTAGCCAAAGTAATATCCTTGAAAAAAAAATTGAGATGGTGATGGAATCATGAAACTAATCTCTATTAGTTACTTAATCAATAAGCAGTCAGTGGATTCTCTTTGGGCATCTGATTCTGGTTACTATCCCTAATGCTGATATTTTCCCCACTGGGAAAAAATTTTACTCTTTGACGATTTTTCCCCCATTAAGTTTATTGGTCCATTTAAAGCAAACAGTATAGTTACATTTATCACTGGGGCCTTGTACCTTTACATGATATATCTTGGTTCTTGTTTTTTTCCCACACCCCTGCCCTCCCTTCACCCCCTTCACCCTTCCCTGTTTATTCTTTGATGATTCTCATGAGAGCCCTTTTCCTTCCAGGCTCTAAGATACCTTGGTATTCAGCCCACAGAGGACCAGCACCAAGCCCTGAGACAGCAAGTACAAGCAGACTCAAAGGGGACAGTGTCTTTTGGAGGTACTACCAGGTTCATCAGGTCGAGTTGTCACAGAAACTTGGAGATTTATTGTGACCCATTTTCTTAAGAGTGCCTGTTTTTTAGAAGGAAAAACGAAAAGTTAAACCACATATACTTCAAGTTCCTAATTAGCACTCGGAAAGCTCAGCTGGAGGTACTAGCCTGCCTGGGTCAGCAGAAAGGACCACTTCAGTAGAAACTTTCAGCTCTAAAGCATTATCATTGTAGCACATTCTTTTTATTTATTTATTGCACAAGCATCGCTTTAGTAATAGAAAGTATAAAACACCGAAGTCCTACTCACACTGCTGTGAGATTACTTCTAATTCCTTTTTCAGCTAATATAAAGATTAATGTAGTGCTGTATAATTTTTCTTAGAGATAGCAATACTGTGCCACTTAAACTAATATTTAGCCTTTTGACAGCAATTTTGGTCCTTTCTCAGTAGCCCATATTACAAATCTATGTTGATTGTCGTATTTATTAATTTATAAATCTCTATTTTTTTTCAATGAGGCTGTTTCATTGTTTTTCTTAAGATAAATCCCCATAATGGATTTCTGGTACATATTGGTAAATCTGGGCTGGGAGTTTGGCTCAGTGGTTCTGCCACCTGCTTCACAAGTGCAAGGGCCCAATGTTCGATCCCCGGTACCAAAAAAAAAAAGAAAAATGCATATTGAGAAATCCTTTTGTAAAGATATTTTGCACATCTGTTTGTTCTGTCTCAAATAATATTTGAGTGGAACAATTTTTTCTAACTTTGCAGCTTTCAGTATTGCATTTTTTCTTATGTGGTAAATATATCGTTTTTATACCCTCTGTAATATTTTTTAAAACTTCACCTTTTAGTTTGGTAGTGAGTGGAAAACTCACTACCCCCTCTTGAAAATCATGTCAAAATGGTAAGAGCAAGAAACAGAACACCTGAATAATCAAAACATATTTAAAGGCAGAAAGCAAATGAAAACTCAGTGAATGAGTTAGTGAACAGAGGCAAGTAAAGCCCAAGTGTCTAATGACTTAGGAAAATTGCAGTAGGGATCAAGCTGGTGTGACCCTTGGGATCTGAAAGCATCAGGTATTTCTAGAGTCTGGACTTAGGCAGCACATATGATGTGAAACAACTTTCAGCACTGTTTCTAAGGAGAATTGTACAAGCTGTCGTTCTCTGCCCCTCTCAGGCAGTCCAGCACCTACCACTACCTTACACCTTCTGGGGGAAGAGAAGTCTCTTTCCTTCCTTAGGAATTAAACCAGAAAGATTATGGATGTACAGTTGCTCTCAGTGAGAGAGTTCGGGGGAGTATACAGTGAGTCATTATTCATCACACACACCCATACTGCTCAGTGAAATCTGCAGCCATATCTATGATCACAGGCTGGAGGGTGTAGGATTCTTTCTAGAGAACAAAATGTCAGCTGGCCTGCCTGACTGCTCTATCATTTAACCTGCCGTTGCATAAGGCAAGTTATACGCGCAGAATTTCCAACTAACTTTTTCAGTGCCTGGGTCTTAAATGTAAACTCATAGCCATGGGTTACCAGACACTTCAGGAAATCTTCCAGCATAAATTGTAGACCCCACAAGTACCAGACATACCGAAAATAAAAAATACCTCAATGATAAAGAAGCGAAGAGAACTTCAGAAAAGCTATCGTTACCATCTTTAAAAAGATAAATCAAGATAATGCATTCATGAAATAACAACAGGATGTTGTAAAATAGAACAATCAGAGAAAATTTGAAAGCATCCTTGGAAATTAAAAAAACTTGAGGATACAAAGAGGAATGGGTCACTCTTGTAACAGCTACAGATGCTCAAGGTCTGCTCTGCTGCTTTAGCAGCAGTGGCTTTGGCTGGCCTGACACAGTTCTACATTCATCTGTGAAATGGAAAGGAACAAAGGACCTTGCTCAGAAAATTACTGTTAGGATGAAATCGCTAAGCACCTTACCTGCCATGCAGCGGCTCCTTCTTAAACATTAGCTGCTGCTATTACGAGTAAACCTCAGGTTCTTTCAGCCAGAAGAGCCACACGTCATAATATTGTCCTGTTTCCGAAAAAGCTCTACTTCTAGTACAAAAGTTGGAGAATTAAGTGTTTCTATGTGTTTGCCTCATCATTATCCTAATTGCATTATTAACCCTAGCAGAGTTAACTGCGATAAAGATAAAACCCATTTACCTCTTCACATTCAAGCTCAGATTGGCCTGTCCCTTGAGTCAATATTATTCTAAGGTAATTCGTGTAAGTTAAATTTGAAGCATCAGTAGCACATAGCTGCAACATCATATAGAAAAAGAATTTACTGAGATGAGGTTAAATGTTGTGTTCTTACTGAAATGTGTTCGTTTTAGATTTTGTCCAGGTTGCCAGAAATTTGTTTTGCTTGCAGTTGGATGAAATAAACGTTGGCGCACAAGAAATTTCCAGTGTGTTAGGTTCACAGGTAGAGTATGTCTGATTGCATTGTCTGAATCATACATAAGTCACAAGGCTTGAATGGTAGGGGTCATGTATATCGCCCTTTTTTCATTTTTCACTGCTTTAAAAAAAAAACATACAAATACTACATGTTCCATGGTTAAATATATAAAGTACAGTTAAACCCAAAAGTAAGAGTTAATTTTGATTATTTTCAGACTTCACTCTTCTTAGCTCCCTTGTTCTACTCCCTGTCCTAAAATCACTAATATTAGCAGTTTGCTATATGGAAGAATACAGACTATGGCAGAAAAGTGCTCTGTGTGTGTCCATTCTAATGTGTTTTAACTCACTGTAAGGTACATACAGAAAAGTACTTGTAAGAATATAGCCTTTGAAATATTATGACATGAACCATTCTCATGAAAGAATATTAGAGAGCTCTATTGCCAGGACCATGGTGACCTACACCCTGTTTCTTTCCAAGTATGAGCCACAACCCCCTGCTCCTAAAATTTTTTAATAACATAAATTGTTGCTACATTTTATATAAAGTGGGATTTTGAAGGTTACTAACTTTATAAATCATTTCTTCTATAGAACTTTGGCACGTGTATTGTCCAATCTTTCCATCCTTTTTATTATGGATTTCTGGTACTGCATTATTTAACAATCTATATTCCTAATTTATATTATTTGTGACTTATACATTTAATTAGCTCAAGTTTATGCTTGTTTGTGCTTGTATGAGCACTTGTCCTCCTTGTGCTGTCATTTATTTAACTACCCACTACTTCCTTTAACTTGAAATGCAGACTTTACCTTATACTGTACATCTCTGCACACGAATGTTTCTAGACCCACCACTGTGTTCCAAGGATACATTTCTGTCGCCCGTGCATTATTATTTGAATTGCTATAGCTTTGCAGTACTAGATTCATGGCTAGCTAGCATCTTAAAGCCTTCATTTTTTTCGTAACTTCTTGGTTTTAATATTGTAGATGATCTTTAGAATTACTTCTCCATGATAATAGTAATCCATGCGACTTTTTAAATTAAAATTGCATGTACAGAATGGTTTGGAAGGAACTGAATGTGGCATTTCCCCATTTAAGACTTTCCTTATGTTTTGGAAAGAGAAAACTGTAACTTGCTTCATATACACCTTTCCCATTTTTGTAAGACTAAGTATACCACATTGTTTGAGGAAAATGAGATTTTTATTTTTATCATTACATTTTTAATTCATTGGGAAAGATAACAATTTTTAGGCATGCTTACTTTGTATGATACCATTTTACCTGACTCTCTTGTTCAGTTGTTCTTCATTTATTTTTCTTGGAATTTTTTGGATAGACATTTGAAATTAATTACATTTTTATCTTTTAAAAAATTTTTAATTTTTGAATTGAAATTAAAAATTTTAATTTTTTAACACTGATGAATAGAGCAACAAAACTGAGGAAGAAATAAATTTCTACAATTATTGGCTCATTATACATCTTGAATTTTCTTATCATTTTCATTTTTCTAGAAAAATTTTAATAAAAGCTTTATCTGCTTTTTGGAGATTTAAAACTGTTCATGTGTCACATAATCTCAGCCTAGATTCTTTTAGAAGAAGAGACATTTCCAACTTTTTAATTGATAGAATGGTGTTATCCTATTCAAATTTTGTCCTTTTATTTAATTTTTCTTAATGTGTATCTTCTTAGAAAAATTTTTGTTTTATCAAGATACTCGATTTATCAAAAATTGACATGTATTTGTTTAGATCTTTAATTTTTTAATTTTTTGTGGGGTTGCTTTTTTTTGTTTGTTTTTTTGAGACAGGGTCTCTCTATGCAGTTGAGATTGCCCTGGAACTCATTATGTAGCCCAGCCTGGTCTGGAATTTACAGCAATCCTCCTGCCTCAGCCTCCAGAGTGCTGGGATTACAGGCATGTGCCACCACACCTGGCTTTAATTTTGTTTTTAAAATGTATTATCAAACAAATTTTCACAAGCTAATGGGACCTATAAATTTTATAGGCCATAGTTTAATCATTACTTAGTGTACAATATTTCCATGTGGTTATTTCTTTTACCCATATTTTGATCTTTTGTTTAATTTTTAAACAACTTCTAGTTGTACTGTTCCCTTTAGAATATTTACATTTAGTGTGATTTTACTGAAGTTAGATACTCTGTATGATATTATAGTAATTATTTGACCATATAACCAGCTTATAATCAATTAAATATTCCTCATCTGTTGAAAAGCATGTATATTCTGCAAGTATTAAGTACAGTGTTTTCCATATGTCAGATTCAGTCTGTTAATCAGGTTCTCAAATTTTCTATTTCTTTACTCATTTTCAATATCTATTATTGTCAGTTACTCTTGTTTATTTCTTTTTTCTAAACCAGATTAGGTGCGGTAAATAATTTTTGAATTATTATAACTTTATAAGATACTAAATCTCTCTCTCTCTCTTTTTTTTTTTTTTTTTTTTTTTTTTTTTTTTTTTTATTTTTTTTTTTTTTTTTTTTGGTACCAGGGATTTCCTTGTGCTTGCAAGGCAGGCCACCAAACTGCTGAGCTAAATCCCTGGCCCCCTAAATCTCTTTATCTCTAGAAGTTTCTTGCCTTTTCATCTTAGCTTGATGTTAGAGTTATACTGGCTTTCTTTTGGTTGGTGTTTTGGTTTTATTCAAGATTATAATTATTTTTCTTTTTGTAAAAATGGAAACTTAAACATATTCAGTAGAATCTCAATACCACAGAAGTATTAAAAGAAAATTTATGGGTAAACTTTTTCCCTTCTCAGAAACTTCTTTTCTCTGTTAGCTCTTATATCTCTTCCATACAGTCCTAGAATGTTGTCTTCTGTTGACTATCCTATCATTTCGCTGCAAAAAATTTTAATGAATAAAATTTTTAACTCCCTGTTTTCATAAGTCTTTCCATATTAAAATTTTCTTCTGGATCCAGTTATACTTGTGTGAATTATTGGTACACAATCAAATAATAGAAATATATAAATTTGATAGATGGTCTTTAAAAATATTTCCTAAAATATAAATTTGTATTTAGTGTGATGGATTTTGGGCACTCCAGTTCTGTCATTTATAAAACTGCCACATTTGCATGCACATTTTTGAGGACTCTCCTGGTGGGTTTTTTTTGGCTTTGTAAGTCCTTTTATTTGAAAAGCCTTGTTTCCTACCTTATTCCTTTTATGTATGTATTTATGCATTTTAATTGACAAAAACCTATATATTTATCATTGCCACATGATGTTTTAGAATATATATACTTTATGAAGTGGTTTAATCAAGCTAATTAACATACCTATTATCTCTCATAATTATTTTTTATTAGAACACTTAAAATCTACTCTTAGCAATTTGCAGAATAGAATACATTGTCACTAACTAGTCACCATGTTGTATAAAGGTCAGGCTATTGCTGAGACAAGATACCTGATGCCCAAAAGTTTAAAAAGGACAGGTTTATTTCGGCTCACAATCTATACAGGTTTTAGTCCATAGTCAGCTGGCTCCAAGACAGGGTGGTGTGCCACAGGGCACAGCCTAGGAGAAAACGCCCACGGTGGAGCAGACAGAAAGAAGTTGCCTTCCTTTGGCTTTCTTTTTTATTCTATCCAGGCTGCATGCCTATTGGTTGGAGTCACTCATTCCCAGGGTGGGTCTTCTGTTTTCAGTAAATCCATTCAGCCCCACTCAGAGCCTTGCTAATCCAATCAGAGGGGGAGTTCCTTACTAACGCTGATGGAACAATCAAGTGTCACAGGGCTTATTTCTCCTTTGGCCATCATTTCTCTAGCCTCCCATGCCCCTGTCGTAGTTTCAAAACATTGTTTTGAGTAATCTTTCCTCTTATTTTGTTCATATGAATTCTGCCAAAAATCTTCCACTACTGAATTTATAGATTATCCTGGGAACAATGAACATTTTTATAATTTTTTTTAATTATTGAGTTTATTAGTACATTTTAGGTATACAGTACAGTTACATTTATTATTGGGATCTTGTACCTTTACATGACAGGTCTTGGTTCTCATTTTTTTCCCCTTGTCCCTGCCCTCCCTTTACCCCCTCCTCCCCTCCCATTTACAAACACCTTATTGTCATTTTTTCATTTTCTCCTATTTTTTTCTTTTCCCTTATTACCTTTCCCCTCCCCTTCCCATTTCCCCTACACCTTTAGCCCTTTTCTTCCTATTTCACATTGTCCATTATCTTATTAGGATCTTATGTACTATTATAGTTTGTTCACACCAGAGAAATTATTTGGTATTTACACATGTGTGACCTATTTATTTCATTTAGGAGTATATCCTCAATATGTATCCATTTTCCTATGAATGAGTCTAATTTCTCATTCTTTATAGCCAATATGCAGATACCTCAAACATTTTTTTAAATTTGTCTTCCTGTCTATGAGCATCTCTTAGCTTTTCATTTATTTATACCTTCTTTGATGTCATTTAAAGCATTTTATGTATTTTTCTAATAAAGTTTTTATTGATGTTTTATAGGCTTAACTGATCAGGTATCTTATGCTTTTTGTTTCCATTAGTGTGTAGTATTTTTTCAAAATTTAAGATTCACTTTTTTATGAAACTACAATAGATTTATATGTATTCACCTTATATCTGACAGCCATGTTGCTTTATTTTCCAGAAAGCCTTCAGTCTTTTTTGTTCTGACACCTTTTTTGAATTGCTAATAAGCTTATATTTGTTCACTTTTTGTTTCCAAATGTACTTTTAAATGAATAATATAGTGTGTCAAGTACCCTAAATGCTGCTAATAACCCTTAAATTCAAGCAAGAGAATAAAGTGTTACATATTTCTAATAAGTTTTTCTTCTTTCAACTTCAAGAATCAAAATTGTACTTTTATATCATTGTTACATTTAGAATTCTACTTATATCAGTGTGTTTTCTGTTACTGTAACAAAATATCTGAGGAAGGCTAACCTTATAAAGAAAAAGGGTTTATTTAGATCACAGCT